TTTGTTCGCCTCCTTTCTTCACCAGTGACTCGGGTTCTTCATACAGCCGCGAGGTTCATCAAACCCCCGAAATATTCTAATGCGCCAGTCGCACGGTGTTTCCGCGAGTTTTCCCCGCCGGGCCCGTAGCAGGAAGCGTGGCCGCGTGACATCGGATAACGAACGCGTACCGCGTGTCGCTTTTGCCGCTCGATTCGGACGGACGATTGGATCGTTGCGGTGTACGCGTTGGTGCGCGAGACTCCCGAAATTACCGCGGAGGAAGGAAACGTGGAGGCATCGTGACTACGTGTGCGCTCTCGTACATGAGTACACGTGTGCGTGCGTGCTTGCGTGCGGGCGCGTGCATGCGTGCGTGCCAGTGGTCCCGCTTGGCCGAGGAGTACGTTCGCCTCCGTCGTTTCTCCGCTCGCGTTACACCAGCATTTTCCTCGTTCGGCTCTCTTCCTTTCTTTCTTCGCACTCTCCATTCTCCTTTCTCCCCTTTCTCTGTCTCCCGTGACCGTTGCTCCAGCACTCTACTCGTCACCTCTTCTCGGGCGCACCGTGCACGCTTCGAGACGCTGTGCTTCTTCTGTGCGTCTCGAAATTTCACCAGCCCGAAGAAACTCGATGTGTTTTCGTGTACGGCTGTCGGTCGAACTTCACAACGGAACAAGGAAGAGGAGAACGATGATCGTGTCGAGGATGTGTTACCGGGACAAGCTTGCCCCGCCGTTCAACGTCGCATTTCGTTCGTGTTAAGTGCAGCCAACAAAGTGATCATCATCGTGGCTGGAAAGGCTCCAGGTGGAAAACGCGCGACCTCCTCCTCGTCTGTGTATACGTTTCCCGGTGTGTCCAAGTGCGTACGCGAGTGTGTTAGTTGTGCGCGTTCAACCGTGTATACACACGCGTCCCTGTACGTGTACACATTACGTTTTACATGCGGCGCTTGCGCGGCTCCTAGCGACGATTCGCGCGCGCCTACCTCGTGCGGTGTGGGAGTTTCTGTCGCGATGAAAACGATCGGCTATTTGTGAACGGTTCATGCCAAGCTTCTTTGGAATACGATGTAATTCGAAAATGATCGCGAAACGTGGTGCTTTTCTTGATTGTACAGTGGACGTTCGACTCGCTACGTGTCCATATCCGTAAATGGTAAATGGAATTGAAAGATTGACAGAATTGTGGTGGATTAGGTAGACATACTTGGTATATATCGCTGGTATTTATCGTTTGAACGATAGATGTCAGTGAGATAGCGCTTCGTGACAATTGGATATTACAAGTCGGTTAGAGTTTGGCCCATGTGTCGATACGTTGTTCGTGACCACGAATCTCGTTCCTTGTTTTTCACTTTGTCAACACAACAAGTAAGTTTCTCTCGATTAGTATTCCATGCCGTGCTATCCCAAAGCCACTTGCGTTCCCAATTTTCACGTTGTCGAGATGCGAGTTCACGTCTGATGGTAATAGTCGGTATCTTTGACCACTTTCTACCGTATTCTGTGCAAAGTAGAGAATTTCATTCGTCGAATGATCCGGTCGGGGATAGCGTACGGGGAATAAAGTGAAATATAGGTTTGACGTCGATGTCGTTGAATATTCTCCGTCGAATTTCTCTTCTCGTCCATTCGATTCACACTCTAAAGAAAGCACGCCTTACGTAAGGACAAAGAGATATACGACGTTCTTTCGTGTGTCGTCAGGAACAACTAATTGCTTCGAGCAATCGTAAATAAGAGATCGTTAACGTAGGTGAATGACGTGTTACGATATAACCGGGAAACGTGTTCATGCTTCGTATCGTTAATTTCGATCGATTCATCGAAGCATCCTCTGATGGCCGATCGATATCTACTTTGCGTTGTACACAAAGTTACGCAAAAGAATTTATTTAAGATTAATTCGGTATTCCGGTATTCGTTTCGAAACAACGAATATTAAATTGGTATCGATTTAATTTGGTTTGATGTCATCTTGTCTCAGATTTCACCGGAAGTTGTAACGGTAGTTTCGAACTACTACATGCCCCAAGTTAGTGACTTTTAATGTTTCTGCCGATGATAGACGTTCGTAATAGCCTCTTCAAACGAAAGACATTTTATTTATTTTGATCATTCCCTTTCTACTTCGTGTCGTAAAGCTCTGATGACTTGCCGGTTCATCCGTCCAGCACTTAAACCCTCTGTGCAATGCCATGTGACTTGCAAGTTGTATATACACGTGTTCTTTAATTCTTATTTTACTTATTCATCACTAATAACAAATCGTAATTCACATTTCTAACTAAAATTTTTTTTTTTTTACACTTATGTCTATTTTAAAGAGGTTAAGATCATTCTTCCTCGCTCTGAATTATCTCGAACACGATCAGTCCAGAACAGAATTAAGATATAATTCAAATTTCGTTATTTCGATATACATTAACCATGCAGTATTACTTTCACTGATTCTCGTTTTTAAAATCTTTAACTAAAACCATTTAAGAACATGTATGCAACGATTAAGCTTTCGGATATTCCTTCTACTATTTGCTTCTTTCCATTATTTACTCTGCTCCTCCTAATCTATCGTTCTCGCGTTCATCTTTATCTCTGTCTATGGAAATCTTAATGTATCCTCTCAAAGGAATTCACGAAGTTACGTGATTTAATTTCGACTTTAGCCTCAAGTTCGATTCATTTATCCTGATGCGCAGTATCGATAGGGAGATTACTAGTTACCACTAGATTGATTTTGATTTCGACAACGAAGAAACCTTAACAGAAATTCCCTTTCGACTCTAGCCTTCGTTCCTACGTATTCTCCTCCCTTCCTACATATTTTCCATCCCTCTTTCGTAATTGGAATTTCATCGGAATCCATAGATACAACCACAACGAGTATATACGAGTTTCTTCCCGGTTACAGCTGCACGACGTTCGTAAAATAATTCTAAAGCTCACCCCGGCTCGGCAATTTCGATAACTCCATTAATAACACGATTCGTGGTCGCCGATAGATCGGACGATATCGATTCCGTAATTTTCGATACGATCGTAAAAAGTCTCGAAGACGTCGATCCCGTGTACACGTGCGATCGTTTCGCGAAAGGAAAAAAGGTTTGGATAAGTTCCAGCCGGCCTCGCGAAATCGAACGTCAATCGTACGATCCCTGTTTCCGTGGTCTGGCAGAAATACAGAATCTCTCGCTTTCCTCCATTCCACGGCTATTTACCACGATTCGCGTACGCACACGTACACGAATACGTGCGTACGATCGGTGCGTACGAGGAGAGGAGAGGCGAGCGCGCACGGATGGACAAAGGTACAACAAAGTGGCTTCGATTTCGGGAGTTCCGGGGTATGTATATAGTAGCCGGCGCTGTGCACTCTCCTCGAGGCAACGGCATGACGCACATCAAAGATGCGAGCGTGCCGGGTGACTGTACTCTGGGTTCATCGTTCTCGGTTATGTAATGTTCGACCGTATGGTGCAAGCGCCTCGACGCTACTCGTGGCGCTAGAGTTGTCGGACGAGAGAACCACGATATACAGACACGGCCAGCACCGAATCCTCCTCGCTCCAATACGGTAGTCGCCTCTACCAACACGTGCGCGCGAATGTACTTATATATATGTATATGTATGTAGTATACTACGTAACTATATATATATATATATA